TTGGATGATGGGATGATACATACCATAAAATCAAGGGCAATGAGAGGACAGATTAAGGGGATGTTCTCAAGGGCAATGGTGAACATCCAGAGGTGTGCTATCAAGTTAGGCAGTGTAAACAAGAACAAAGGAACAGTCCTCTGGAACAGATCTTCCCAGCATCCTAATTCTAACATGAGGCATCCAGATGCCCTGGAAAGTTCACAAGATGCAAAGGTAAACTGCTTTTCTGTTGTTTGTTCCCAGCAGAAAGCACTCAACTGGGGTTTCAAATATTTTTGCTTCAAAAGCTCAAGACTTTGGCATGGTAGCACTTTTTCTGAACCCAAGAAAAGGAGACAGATTAATGTATCTGTTAAATGTTAGGTCATTCTACAAGCAAGTACTTTCTTCCCCCCAAAGCAAATGGGCAGGAGCGTGTCTTTGCACTCTGCATACTAATGTGGTTTTTATGCTCATCACCACACAAAACCTTCAGAACCAGCAGCATCAGCCCGGGGAAGCTGCAGCACATTTGAACGCACAGGACTTAATTTGCTGTAGAACTGCTGAGAGGTAGGTGGGTGATGCATAAATATGGAGAGATTAAAGTTATTTTGGTGCAGGTTTGCTGATCCTCCTCCTCCCCCTGCATTTAGCATTTCAAAGGCTGACGGTGTACACAAACACAATAGGAGATCAAAACACCAGTTTGCAAACTTGGGCTGTGTTCCATTCTGAGCCTGATTCTTGATGGGGGTTCTCCTGGCACACCGTTATTTCAAGAACTCTGGTAGACATCAAGAGGAGAGAGGGACAATAATCAAGGAGGATGAGGATCTGAAAGAGGTGAGATGATAGAGGTGAGAAAGATGAACTGCTAGTAATAGCCCATTTTTTTAGTCACATTGTGAGGAGTAGCATGTATTCAGATGAAGAGCTGCAGTGCTGAAAAGAATGGCCAGCAAAGCAGCATGGGTTTCCCATAGCAATCTGTGGAACAGGAGTTAGAGAGAACTAGCAATCGCCCTGAACTCCACCTCAAATAGGAAGAAGCAGGTTAAGTGAGTCACCTCAAATTCACAATTCACAGGCTGTTTTACAGGTCACTGCTGTAAACTATGTTCCACGCACACCAGGTCTTAGAATCGATCCATACTACAAGCCAATGCTACTTCTACACCCGTTCTATCTCTCTGTTCTTCTCTCCCGAGGCACGACGGCAGGCTTGCAGGGAAATTAAATGAAAGTTGTCTCTCCCGAACAAAAAGAAAATAGCAGGATAAAACCCTTGATTTCACCCAGAAATAATTAAGAGATGGGAAAAGTTTGCCCCTTTTGGAGAGGAACATTCTGAACACTGCAGCCAGTATGGTCACTGGCCTTACTGGCTTGGGTACTTGGGGAGTTATAGCCCCAAAAAGCATCAACCACCCATTTCTGGATTGGGCTGACCTCTGTGAGATTCTTTTCCTCCCTGTGAGAAAGAGAAACAGAGTGCTGTTTTTACTCTCGCCAAGGTCTCCACGACATCCACAAAGTATCTTGACTAAAGTTGTGTCCCTTCTCTTTGAGACTCAGGCACAAACAAATCAAGATAGGATAGAACCACGGCAGATTGCTCAGAGAGACTCTAACACCCTCTGCAATATTTCTGCTTCTAAAAGTACAGGCAACAGAGCAGCGACAAATGACATTTGGTGTATTAGATTTAAACCGTCACTTGGTGCCATTTTGTTTAATTAACTCAATTCCCTTTCTAGTTCTCTTCTCTTATCGAGAGTGCCACAGAATAGCTTGCCCTCTCCAGGTGGAAATGATGATCTTGTTCCTCCTCCTCCCTATGTAAAAAGAACAGCCAAGCAAGAATTTACTCCTCTAAACTGGATAAAGCCATTCACCATCTTACAGACCTACTGGCACACCACAGTCTCCTTGTAATGTGCAAAGCCATCAAATAAAAGACGGTTAGTGCCTTCTCTTTACCCATCCAATCTCTCTTCTTCTGTAATGAGCAACCTATAAAGGTGACCCCACAGAATAACATGAAGTTTCATGTAAGACCATCAAGTGGCCAGAAACTACAAAACCATAGGTAAAGGTAAAGGTTCCCCTTGACAATTTGTCCAGTCGTGTCCAACTCTAGGGGGCGGTGCTCATCTCCGTTTCCAACCCATAGAGCTAGCGTTTGTCCAAAGACTGTTTCCACGGTCATGTGGCCAGCGCAACTAGAAACGGAACACTGGTACCTTCCCACCATGGTGGTACCTATTTATCTACTCGCATTTTGCATTTTGGATGCTTTTGAACCACTAGGTTGGCGGGAACTGGGACAAGGAATGGGGGCTCCCTCCATCGCGTGGATTCAATCTTATGACTGCAGGTCTTCTGACCTTGCAGCACAGAGGCTTCTGCGGTTTAACCCACAGTGCCACCACCTTCATAAAAAACCCATAGGTGAACTTTTTCTTCCTTTCTGGCTTGGCCTGAGAGTAGAGAGGTGGATTTTTAAGATTCACACTTTACTGGTTAGATGGAATTCCAAGTTAAGAATTTAACACTTTGAAAAATGGCTCCAGATCTCATGGCAGCCTCCCTCAGTATCTCTTCATATTCAGAGGCAGGGCTATAGCTAGTCAGGCAAAACCCATCCAGTGCCAAGTACATGACATGTAAACAAAGGCACACATTCCTTTGCTGTTTTCCAGACTGTGTCAAGGGGATGGAACCTTCCTTATATATATCACTCTTGTGCTGCAGCTTCTGATTTTAATTTGCTAAGAAGAGCACAAGCCACAGAGTTCCCTTTTAAGGCAATACAAGCAATTCAAGTGCCTGGTATACACGGCAGGATTCTCCCAGTGGCAGCCAAATGAAGCTAGGACTTCAAACCATTTCTTCCTACCTCCCGTATTGTAGGCAAAAAGATTCTGGAACAGCTGCTTTCAGATCACATCTAATGAAACCCTAACCACCTCGTGGGCCCTATTAAACATCAGCAAAATATTTTGGGCTGTGGTACACCATCCGAGTCGATGCTGTTTACACTGAGTGATTTCAAACTTTACTTAACACAAAGCCAGAAAAGGAGCTCACCGTTGAAGGAGACAGCATTAGAAAAGCTAATGAGCAAGGCTGCCTTAAAAGCACTGTACCCTGTAACTCCTAGGAGGGCCAGCTGGAAATATGCTGAAGATTTTTTAGCATTAAACAAATGTAAGACCAGGGAAGGGGGGGGGTAGTCTTACTTTTCTATCGCCTTTGATTTAGCATTTTAGCATTCTAGGTTTGCTAGATTTGCCAGGAAAGAGTTGTAATAAAACACTGGTGTGTGTTACATGCTGTCAAATCAAAAACGACCCTAATAGAGCTTTCAAGGTGAGATGTTTAAGGAGGGGGTTTACAGGTTCCACTCTCCCCTGAGCTTCCATTGTGAAGTAGGGATTTGAACCCAGGTCTCTTGAGTCCTAGTCTGTCACTCTATATATGTATTACACCATATTTGGTACCAAGCTATGATGAAAGCAAGGAATACACGGCAGAAAAAAAATGTATATGTTTGGAGACCCTTGCATTCTTTCATTCTCGTTAATCAGAAATACTTCATTTTTCATTATTTTAGGGGTGAGTCAAAAGACACTGGCAAAAATCCAACTGGAGAAAAAACACGCATGTAAGGCAACCAAACAGCTGTTTTCCCCCTCCTGTGCCTCCCTTTTGTGCTATTATTTGCATAACCAGCCATGTGCCAGACTGTGCAGTCCGTGTGAGACTGGGTGCCCAAAGCTGGCAGGAGGGGGGAAATGCTTACATGATGACATGTTACGGCTCCCTTCTTGAGTCCTACCACTACCTCCCAGAGTGCCAGAACTCTGTTTCCTGACATCACTGGGTATTTAAAGAGGATCAGGAAGTAAATGGGGGCTTCTGGATAATGGACAATGTGCAACCATCCTGTGCACCCTTCATCCTTCTCTCCGTTGTCTGGTGTGCAGGTTCTTTCCTCCTCTCGCCTTGTTTTCATGGACTACAGTGCTAACTACGCTGCCCTGGGGGGCGGGGCTCCCAATGAGAATACCGTAGTTTGTGAAATAAGCCAACGGCCCCCATCCTGTTCCACAGCAATGCCAACACAGCTGGAGAGATGTCCCCAGTAGTGGCACGTTCCTGTGAATGAAAGGGTTCTTGTTTTGTTTTTTGAATGCACATAACTTTGTCTCATTGAGATTGAGTCTCAGGCAATGAGAAATTAAAGGAAGAACTCTTTAATTAGTGGCAATCTGTCACTGTCAGCAGCATCTTTCCCAACACACTGAAAGGTTTAAGGAACAGCATACTAGCCAATGTCCAATCAGAAGTGTCCTTTGTTTCCTTGCATTGGATTTTTTAATTTTATTTTAACAGGTAAACAACTGGGTTTGTTCACCTGAAGCCATGGTCTTCCTGAACTTTTCGTAGTCCATGGATGTACGTAGTAGTAGGGCTACTTGATCGGGGTGATGTCAGGATGGCAAAGAGAAAGCTAGGCAAGGCTCAAGGAGGGCAGCAAAAAAAATCACAATATTTTATAGCAGACATTCTCAGCCTTTGTTTGGCCATGGCCATAAACACAATATGAAAGAAATATAGGCTGAAATCAGGATTGTGTACATCACTTTAAAAAACTTATAAGGTGCTATGTGATTAATTGTTTCCAGTCTGTGGCCCCCTTCAAATGTGCCACTGTCCCCTAGGGGGGCCATATGGCCCCCGTTAAGAATGGCTGTTCTATAAGATCCTCAAATTCCTGGTTGGTTGTATGGAATTTTGAAACAGACAAAGCAGTATTTCATCACCATGTTCCACATGAGAATGGCTGAAGGGTCAGGATGGCTATCAGATGAATGCAGACTTGACTGTACCAATACCCTGATCTATTTTTTTTAAAATCCTCTGACTGCCAAGAAAAATAAAGTAATAGAGTGGCTGGCCATTTTATAGCTCTGTCCTTCTACCCTGTTCTTCTGCTTGTTTTTGCTTACCAAGGATAATCCCATTGGGCTCTTCAGGTGGTTGCCACACAACACGGACGGATGTCAGCCTCACCTCGGGAAATACAAGTCGCACAGGGGGACCTGGAGCTGAAAGAAGAAAGAGATAAACCAATATGGGCATTTAAGCCATTGCTAAATGGTAAGCCAACAGCCATCTAAATCTCAGTGATTCCTTGGGTCAACTTGGGTTGGTGTTAACCATCGGATTGAGGCCAAGGTTCCACACTGGTACCATGGACTAATGGCTATGATAAATCAGAAGAGGAAGTTTTTGAACCGTAACTGAGAGCAACGAATTTTGTGCAACCATCACAACAAAACCCTAGCAATCTTCTGAGATCAACACAACCACAAATTCTTCTAACATTTCAGCTACAGATTCAGATATTTTACAGTACTGATAAAATATTTACAATGCTGTTCTGACAAACAAGATTTATCCTCGGTGGGAATGATCATAGGGGAACCTAGTGGGGAAACAGCTTGTAAAGTCATTTCATAACTCTGGTTATTTTACCTTATATCATATGCTAGGGAGGTGTTAACTTACCTTGAGAGAGAGAGGCTATTTCCCATGTGACTCCACAGCATCCTAACCAGGGCTGCTGTGCTTGAATATTCTTCAACCACATTGCGAATGCCCAGTCTGAATTGCCTTCTCATTTCGCATGCACAGGCTGACCACAGCCATGAGCATTAGAGGGGAAGCAGGTGTATGCTACCACAGATGGCAGGCAGCTGAATTACTCAGATGGGTTTCACTGAATGCTAATTTCCAAATCTACAGTAGAGGCACTGATATTCTCCTTAAGCCTAGATCTCACCTGTACTCTCACCTATGATGCTTTTAATTAGATTGATCAAGGAGAACTCTAGCAGGCTTAAGTCAGGAGCAGGGCGCGCGCGCAAGAAATAACAGCACCAGGTGTCAACAGGTGCTGGAGGAAGGAAAAGGAGAGGGGCATTTTCTTTCAAACACCAACAAAACTGCACCCTGTTACATTGTGTTTAGTCTACACATCTGTTTATCCAGCCCATTTGTTGCTTCCCCCTTTCCATCACTCTATAGGGTGTTAAGCTCTGTCCAGAGGTACTGGGGCAAGACACAGGATCCCATAGATTTAGGGAAGGCACCTTTGGGTGGCAAGCATCTTGAATTCCAAGCTCGAACACTGTCTGGCCAGCAAAGAGAACCTAAATGCTGATTTTGCCCACCTCTGCCCATCTATCCCAGCAACCGAGGACACGGAGTGGGAGCCAGGGTTTTGAGGCTGAGGTTTGCCCAGCCACATCAGGGCATGCTGGGGACTGAATCTGTGATCTTTGGTATGCAAAGTAGTAGCACCAAACTACAGTCTCTCCCTGACCTTGTTCCAAATCCCAAATAAACACACTGGCTTCCTTTCTTTACTTTAAGAAATCAGGTGTTATGATTTCATTACTACTTCTGGATTTGCTGATATGCTACTTTGCCATATTTATTTTCACTCATTATGCACTCCATTGAGCAATCTGTTTAACCTTTATGCATCAGGAGGGGACATTTAAGTCCCCTACAGTGATCTTTTGTGGCAGTATTGACACAGAACTAGACCTAAAAGAGAGGTATTCTACGACATTGTTGCTTACAATGTCATTGAGTTCCAGTCACTGGCTGTGTCTCTATATGTAACAGATTTTTAAAAAAAACCCAGCTAGAACAAAACTGCTCTGACAAATGTACGTATTGCTTCTTTCCCACTGGGGTACAGTTGAGGGCCAGCCAACGTAATGTGCTCCATATCAATTTTTTCATGTCTGTGATGTTGAGAAATAGAAGTGACACACATATCCTGGCTGGCAGATGGCTGGCCCCAGTTAGAACTCACTTCATGTGTTTTTTAAAAACTTCTTGAATATGAGGGTTAAGAAAAGCAATGCACATATCAAGAGTGAAAAACAAACAGAAATCTAGGGACAAGCCCCACAGCCATGCATCATCTCAACATTGGTGTGGTTAATGAATACACATGATTCTGTTCAAGGCCCGTTCTTTCAATATGTCAACGCCTAAATGAGAAGCCTCAGCCTTACAGGAAGTGTTTGAGAATTGTACAAAATAATGTTTATGCACTAATTTTTTTGCAAAGGTCATTTTCTTATTCTTTTGTTCATGGCTGGTATTAGGCACACTCCTGGGATTGGAAACGCCACGTCTTACTCACATTCAATCACAGCAAGGTTTGTTTATCACATCCCATTATGCCACAGCTTTTTTTTTATTGCTATGATTGGATTTCTGTAGGAGTTCATAATTGGGCTGTAAAAATTTGCTTCAGGCTGGAACTGGCTATAAAATATAAGGTTTTAGAGTGAAACAGTCTTTTTGTCAATTACTAGGATATGGGGGGGGAGATGGTGATTTGGGGAGCAGATTCCCAGCAAGAAGCTAATGGGACTGGAGCTGTTTACATTAGGGAAGGATCTGGCTCTTTAAGATTAAAAATGTAATCAAGCCAAGAGACTGTTAATATATTCTCCCCGTAAAGTGTGCATAATGTGAGTAGATCTCTTGAAAAAACTAGGTTTCAGTGAAACACACGGGCACACGCACGCATGCACGAACGCACGCGCACACACACACACACACTCACTCACCATCATCTTTGGTTCGTTCGATGGCCGGAGGAGTGCTGGGAACCCCATCACCAATGCGTGTGAATGCCAGGACTTGAATCTCATAAAGCACATACTTCCGTAAGCCAGCTAGAAGAACGGAAAGGGTGTGATTTCCTCTCACTACTTGGCTGCTTAACTTGCTTTCCACATCTTTGGCCCTGAACAAGACCTGCAGGCAGAAGATGACATGATAAAAATGTATGGAAAAGGTCCATCCTAGGCTTCCCTAGGTATGAAGACAATTCAAGAACAAGAGTTTTACAGGCCATTTCTGTTGCAAATATAGAGTACGGACAATCAATGCTGTTTTTCTTTAAATCCTGTACATTAACATCAAGCTCATTCTCCGGGTTCTGGTCCTAAAACAGTATGTTTCATGCATGCAACAAAGACATTTCTGTATTATTTATCAGTGGAAACAGATTAAAAAAGACATGCTCCTAAACAGCTCATGCTGATCTGCAATCTCATTTCCCCCTAAAACAACATGCCCACGGAGTCCTCTCTGTGGTCTCTTCCACTGGTTACTTTGCATTTCTAAATCCACAGCTCCTCTCTTTAACCAGATATGTAGAGGAGAAAACCACTCACATCCCAACAACAAAGTTATGTAGCTAGTGATCAGCCAAGACAAAGACATTTTCTAGTCCTCAATATATGTTAGGGAAACACCTTACGTGAATAGCTAATCAATAAATAAGAGAGATACATAATGACAGCTGAAGGCTATTAAAAAGTTTTGATTTTCATCTACACTTTGAATATATTGCTGCATTTTCAAACTACAGTTTTCTGAGTAACAAGAAGCATAACCTACAATGCAAAGGGAAATTTTGTTTCTCTTAATTTCATACATGAAGAGAGAGAATATTTCCTCTTGGCTTCTTATACATCCCAGAAATTCAAGCAATATATAGTTTTTTTTTCAATTGTATGTTCAAGTTGGACAAGAATACACAGAGGAATTATGCCAAAAATATCTGGATGTCCCGGACAGCCTGGATACGTGTGGTTGCTGACCTTGAGCCAGACATCCTGGAGAGGGAAGTCAAGTGGGCCTTAGAAAGCCTGGCTAACAACAAGGCCAGTGGAGGTGATGGCATTCCAGCCGAACTATTTAAAATCTTAAAAGATGACGCTGTTAAAGTACTACACTCAATATGCCAGCAAGTTTGGAAAACTCAGCAGTGGCCAGAGGATTGGAAAAGATCAGTCTACATCCCAATCCCAAAGAAGGACAGTGCCAAAGAATGCTCCAACTACCACACAATTGCACTCATTTCACACGATAGCAAGGTTAAGCTCAAAATCCTCCAAAGTAGGCTTCAGCAGTATGTGGACCGAGAACTCCCAGAAGTACAAGCTGGATTTTGAAGGAGCAGAGGAACTAAAGACCAAATTGCTAACATACTCTGGATGATGGAGAAAGCCAGAGAGCTCCAGAAAAACATCTACTTCTGCTTCATTGACTATGCAAAAGCCTTTGACTTGTGTGGACCACAGCAAATTATGGCAAGTTCTTAAATGTGCCGTCATTTCAAATTTATGGTAATCCTAATGGATGTTTCAAAGTATGTAAGATATCTAAGGAGTAGTTTGACTAGTCTCTCTCTCTCTCTCTCTCTCTCTCTCTCTCTCTCTCTCACACACACACACACACACACACACACACACACACACACACACACACACACACACATAGTGAGTTTCTATAGCCAAGCAGAGATATGAACCCAGATATCTTAAATCCTAAACCATCATTCTACCCACTATACCATATTGACTCTCATACAGGATTGTACTCCTGGAATGATACATGTTCTTACATGATACATAAATAATGACAAGATCAGCTTAAAATATTCTTTCACAGAAAGTAAAAGAGAACATCTGCGTAGCTGTATACCTTGTAGCCAAGAATAAGTCCATTCTGATCAGGTTCTGGCACAGCTGCCCAAATCAAGAGGATCTGAGTAGAGCTCACAGCTTCAGCCGACACATTCTCTGGTGGAGCTGAAGGAACTGCAAAAGCCAAAAAGTAATAATAATAATAAAAAAATAAAAGCTGGAAAATCTATTGATTCCCCTTTGTGTTCTAGAATCACACACACACACACACACTTCATAAAGGCACAGAGCCACTTGCACATAAGCAAAACATATACAAAATTGTAACTTCCACAAAAAAGTTAGAAACAAAGTGGGCTGTAGCGGGCTGAATGTTACATAGGCAAATAGAACATAAATTTAAAAATTAAAACCCAGAAAACATTAAAAGGGCCTCAGGGCATAGAAGAGTTACATTTGAGACTGCAATTGCCACAATCATCAGTAAGCGTGGATTGCAGCCATGCTGGCTCGTGGGGGGTGGGTGGGAGATCAGGCATGTTTTGGGAGTCTGTAACCCCTGCAGAAAAGTCAGCAAGAGTTGGACTGAAACCCTGGGATGGATGAAAGTGGAGATGTCCCAGGTGGATTGGTTTGAAATCAGAAGAATCCAAAACTGAGACCGGGTACACTTTGGGGAGGTGGGTGGAAACTGGAGAGGCAGTCCTTTTCATGACGACATTAAGAGCTTAAACACCATGACACACTCACCACGGTGCCAACAGGAGCTGTCTGAAAATGCTCACTTTGCACTTCAATATGACCATTTTCTGCTGTCATACCTGCTGCTGTTTTATTTGATCCTTTATGCTGTTTTCATGGATCCAATTGTTTCATAAATATAGTTTCTAGTACTGTACTGTTAGAACTGCCCCAAAGATTAATCTAAGTTTTTTTTTATGAGCAAATAACAAGGGATGGGGGACTGAAGTTGCGGGACTCACTGTTAAGTCAGACGTAAGTCGCACCAATGACTTGGACTTAACTCGTTGGTTTTTTTTTCCAATGACTTGCATTTGCATCATGACTCAGAACCCACCCACCCCCTCCCTCCTTTCGGTGAAAGAAAGGTCATTTTTAATAGGGACTCAGGACTTGGTACCAAAGACTCAGACTTGGGACTTGAAGCCAAAGACTTGCCAGCATCCTTGTGAATAACTTTAATACATCCCAATAGTCCTGAACTGAAGAGGAAGAACCACCTCCTCTCCTCAGATCACCAGCAGCGACTTGCTCCAAGTTCTGCTTAGAGATAAAGAACCGTTGGAAAGAAGAGCAGGGGCTACTGAGACCCTAGCAGGATACAGGCCACCCAGGCCAATTTTAGGCAAATCTCTTTTCCCTTATCTTTTCTGGGATTCTGCGACAGCATCCACCATATCAACGTCACCATATTAATTCCAGACATGTGCTGGAACAGCAGTCTGCGGTGTTACCTGGTGTCTTACTTCATCCATTTTAAAATGCCATTTAAGCCAGGGGGCATCCAATTAAGCCCAGACTTGAATGCTGAAGAAAGTCCAGTGTTTCACATGCAATTTTTAAAAAGAGGACAAAACAGAATGCCTCTTTTTAAAGTGAAGGCTGTAACTGAAAGGTCACCGCAGAATTACTGTCACTAAGCCTCACTTGACAGGGAGAAATCCAACATATTTTCATTGCATTACCTCCCTGCATTCCCATGTCACTCAGCTCCTTTAGGCAAATCTAACACCACCCAGTTCACATGATTTGATTTAGAGGCAGCTTTAAAGGTCCTGGAAGAGACTGTATTCAGTTATTGTCTTTGCTTGCGCCTCCCCTCTCTGCTTCCACACGTAAGGATTTGATCTCTAAGGGTGCACCTTCTCAAAAATGGCCAGGTGCCTGCCAAGATTTCAAAGAGCATTCCAAGGAGGAAAAGACCCTTCTGGAAGCTTCTTGAGGAGATAAGGGCAGTTTGGGTAAAGCCTGTTACTCTGAGTGAACACGTGACATTAGCCAAGACCAAGCAGTGGTGGCTCAACCATCTAGCCATGGGATGGAGGTGGGGCTTGTGACAGGGAGCATGTGTTCTGCTTGTGTGTAGGGATTTGTGCGTGCGTGAAAATTAACACTTATTGTTTTTAAAGTGCATACATGAGGGATGTGATAAATGCTCACTAAATTCCTTGTTCTCATCAAGGGAGGAGACATGTCAATGGAGAATTTTTTTAAGCTGCAGAAGACTTCTGGTTTCTAGCAGGAAACCAAGACACCTTTTCTTTTCCTCCCAACCCATAGAAAACATCTATACAAAATGCCACTGATTTGAGAAGCAAAACACACACCAAGAGAGAGAGAGAGAGAGAGAGAGAAGCAAGCACATTCTCGAGTTCTCATGACACAGGGCACAGGGGCCCCATTTCAACTCTCTCTTCACAGAATCTATGCCTAGGATCTTGTCAACTGCAGTGGAGCAGAAAGGCCCCATGAGTGCAGTCAATGCTGTACCTCTTGCAGAAGCTGAGACTGTCATTTGAGCACACGGCACTTCTGCTTGTGGAACAAGCTACTGGATGCATGCGTGTGCAAGCGTTATTGCCAACATACTCCCACGTTACGATCTATTGCACAAGTAGTCCGACAGAAGGGGATCCTGCAGCTGAATCATACACAGACATTCACAAGGAAAACACACATGTTCTCCAAGGACAGTCACTATTGTAATTTCCATGTGACGAGTTAACGGGGACATGAGAAGCAGAACTCCAATATTTTAAAAACAAACAGGGATTCTCCCCCACCCACCTGGATTATTTTTTGTTCATCTCCTCCAAGATTTATCCCCCACAAGGATATAATTATGTTAAAGGAATATAGATCGCCGGGAGCCATGAGTGTCTTTGGACGGCTGCCAAGGCTTTATTCATAGATCTTCACAAAGAGTGGCTCCCACATGAATCACTTTTCTCTTGGAAAGACAGCACACTAAAATAGTGGTGTGTCAGATTTCAGGGTAAAGAAAGCCAGTGGTTTCCAAGCCATACTTATTCATAGATTCACCTGTTTGAATTTAGAAGATATTTCTTTATATATATTCTTTCAGATGGCTTCTTTAATTGGGAAGCCAACAAATTTCTCTGATCCCCACATTTCTCCCCTGACACCAACAGGGTGAGAGACTAAGACTGAAGGTGTCTTCATTTCTCTGTCAAAAAGAAGAAGAAGCAAAACCCAAGCTATATAATGGAAAGGAAACTGCTGCTAGGAACAGTCTCAGCCTAACAATGAACGGTGTGCACTTTTCTTAACTCCCAACAATGGCCAAGGTTGTCTGAGATTTGAAGCTTGCCAATGTGTGCCAGGAAGATACTAAACATGCTTGAATGTTTTCAGCATACTAGCATTCTGTTGAAATACATCTTGGGCCTGGTCTCTTTCAAGAATGGCTCACTTCAAGATTAACAAAGAGGAGATGATGAGTAAGACAGGGAGGACAATCATTAGCACATGCTTCCCTTTTTAACAGGAATAGACATAGGGTCAAGGTTCCCTCTAACGTGCACAGCTCTGTGAGCATGTGAGACTCTGCTCCCATCCACACAGGGCTCCTCCTCTCCTCCGCACAGTGATTGTTTCCAGCCCCTCTGGTTCCACTTATGACAGAACCCCAAGTGGAGCAGTGGTGGAGTCACATGTGAAGGGAGGGAGTAGAGTTGTGTACACGAGGGGTGGAGCCCCAACCAGCAGGGCTGAAAATTAGAGGGAGCATTGCTTAGGGTCTTTCCAGATTTGCAAATCTACAGTACAGCAAATCTGTCAGTACTTTTGTTTAGTGCCATCATCCAGTGACAGAAGCTGAAATTGATTAAATTCAATGAGCCACACAGGGCAAGCATAAGCCTGCCAGCCGAGATCTTTGTTGTTGAAATCTTTCTATATTACATAGGGTCTGCTGGGTTCCGAAAAGGTGGAGGTATTTGCAACTCTCTCTTTTAAACTATCAATTAAAGGAGAAATGATGAAACAGCTACACAGCTTACTTGAATTGGTATCATTAGGGGACACCTGCTTTAAAAAAAACGGTTGCACTGTATGACCCTCCAGATGTTGTTAGGCTGGCTCTCCCATCACCCTTCATCATTGGCTTTGCCAGTTAGGGCTGATGTATAAGATCTGGATGACCATACATTGCCCACCTGTGGTCTAAACCCGTTTCCCACTACACATTGCATGGGTCACCAAAATCTGTTGCATGGTTTAATAAAAACTTTCCAGCTCAATTCTCTGCATTAGTTTCTTTGTCACTAAAGGCAATGGAATAAGGTTTCTTTTCATAGGAACTCATGCAGGTGTCTTTATACTGAGGTTGGATTCCATCTAACCCACCATTGTTCACTCTGACCAGGTGTGGGTATCCAGGGTATCAGACGAAGAGACAATATCCACTTGGCGTATGCTTTGATCCTTTTTACTAGGCTTTCTGGGATAGAATTTGGGAACTTCTGCATATAAGGTATGTGCCCTACCATTGTGCCAAGTTGATTCAGCCCTGCAGCTTTTGATACTCTCCAGCAGAGGCTGCAAATCTGCAGGGAAAATCTCTCTCTCTCTCTCTTCCACAATTCCGCTACTAAGTAAACTCCCTTTGAATGCAGTACTTGGATAGCCTTCTACTAATCTGGTCTGTAGCTTCTTCAAAAATGCACTCTGTCTTTCAATTAGAGGCCAAAACTGTATGTGACAAGGCGGGGAGAGCCTGTAAGCTCCCCAAAATGAGGGAGGGTTAACACATTAGAGTGGGCTATCATGACGAGGAGAATGACAGGTAGAAAGCAAGTCCCATGGAAGAAGCTCAAAGGGTCATGAGAACAAAGGCACTCACAGAGCGTGCGAGAAGAGGAAAGCAGGGCCAAACAGCAGGTACAAATATGAGAGCTTAATGCCTCTCACAACAACCCAGAATAAGAACAGGAAAAAAGTCCACTGGTCCTCCCCTCCATTATGAAGCATCGTTATTATTTTAACCTTGCTCTGTGCTTTATTTGCGAGCCACCTTGCAAGAGAAAAAGAGACACCCTTGCCCTGACCTCGTTGACCTCAACACAGCCCTGTAATAATAATGCAGCTGGAATGCACTGCTCATCTCACCAAGCATTTCAGGAGCAGCAGCATACAGTAAATAGGATTCTGATTGTCTTCATCTCAGCATTTGTTATTTGGAAACGGGAAGCAGAAAAGGGTCGGTCAACTTTTCCCACAAATGAGCACCTTTGAAATCAACACAGTTCCTGTCTCCACGTGAAAGCTTTTATGTGCAAAGAAAAAAGGTACAGAAAGCCGAGGCAAGGCCATGCATAGAAACTTTTTGGGGAAAAAATGTTTTCGTTCAAGAGAAGAGACCCAAACTCTGCAGATAATAGCGATCCTTTACTACAAACTCTCATTATCTATAGAACAGATTAAAGGGTTGTAAAATCTAGTTGCCTTTTACAGGGAAACTGAAGCTGCTTTAGGGGCAACACGAAAAATAAATCAGTTTCATCTGTGTCCCCCCCCCCTTCTGCAAAGGGAAGTGGGTAGTAAAGTGAAAAAGAGAATTCTCAGCATCCTCACCCAATAACTATACTTCCCTAGCATCTTGGTAAGTGTACTGCTATGAAACCTATCTGGTTTTGTGCAGTGGAGATGCATGATTGTAATGCTGCTCTTGTTTCAGAGCTCAAGAACATCTAGAACAGGACAAGAGCACCCACTGTCGTGGGAGGCTTGTCAGATCAGCCTTCAGCAGACTTCTTCGCCCCTTTAATGGCTCTCAGAATATTGTTCCCTTCAAAACGGAAAGTGAGATGACCTGAAGGGAATGGAGCTCAGCAAAATCCTGGTCATGGGGGGTTTCAGGGTATACACAGTTGGACTGGTGGGTGTAAGAATGTACGGGGGGGGGGTAGTGCACTCAGTGACTAAGAAGTGGTCAGAGAGCTGACAACAAAAAAGTCGGTAGGAAAGGCACCTGGTAGGATTTCAAAGGGGATGGGTGTAGAGGGGATTTCCCTCAGTTTGGACTGCCCCACGCTGTACGTAATGATCTGGGGTGGTTCTGCTGCCAAAGCAAAAAAGCCACCACCATCTGTTCCCATATTCAGCCCAAAAGACATACCTAATAACAGTGAAACGTATTCGTGTCACATAATAGGGTGGGATGATGACTTCAGGCAGATTTGCTGGACTGCCATTGATGGCTGCCCATTATTACCACCTGCCCTCATTACTGCAGCAGAGCCGTTCCTTAGCACGGCACCCCTGGGCCGTTCCCCAAATGCCTGGCTCCGAAAAGCTTGACCCTCACCTCTCAGTGTGGGCATGATTATGTAACAGTTGGCTTTACCGCTCAGTCTCTATGGCCGCTCACGTCCTGGAGACCGACGGCAGCCTAAAAATATCTGTGAGGGCAACAGGGGCAGAACAGAGCTGAAATGAGTAACTGTCAAAACAGAGGTACTTGCCTGTTTTTTTTCTTTTTTCTTTTAAAGAAGTATTCTGTACCAAGGACATGCTAGTGCAGTGACTGTCTTGTCACCTTTTCTCCTAACCTAGAGCGAACTATCTCCTCTGAACATAGTTTCTCCTTCACTCTTTAAACACAGCAGCCCTGCACACTTTGGGTCCACAGAGCAGGGATCAGTAATGTTTGTCTTTGGGATAACAACTCCCAGAATCTCGGTTGTGCAATTACCGTCATCCCAAATACATTTTCTATAATCATCTTAGAACTACAGAGCTGGAAGGGACCCCCACAGATCATCAAGTCCAGCCTCTGTCAGAAAGGCCCAGTAGGGGAATCAAACTCCCAACCTCTGGCTCCACGGCCAGATGCCTACATGACTGAGCTATCCGGCACGCTCATGGAGTGCCCTCTTCGGAACACAGAGGGCTGCACATTTGAAATGGGTGCCATTTTAGTTTACAGTGATTGGAATGTGCATTTTCCGAAGCTCAGATACCTCCGCCCTGAGTTTCTATGTTGACAGTGTCTTTTTAACAAAGAGCAATGGCAGTTCTGCTTGTGAAGAGCCATAACAAGAGGGAGCAGCACAGTGGATGATCAAGCACAAGGCTGTGCCTTCAAACGGGATCCTCTGTCTAAACCATCCCGAGAGTAATCTCTCTCACTATGAAAGCCTACAGGGAAACACATCATATAAACTCCTTAAGAAGTGGAGTCTACTATGAACGGCCCTCACAATAATGGAAATTTGTCATGTTCACTAACCTAATGCTGGAATCCAACCAGCGTTTGCCAACAAATAAGTCCCAGTGATCACACTAGAAGTTCTTAGAATAGAACAAGAGTGTGGGATGATTACATTGCCCCTCCTCTTCTCTCTGCCACATCACCTGCCAGACAGATAAGGAACTCTGGGGGAAACTGTGGGGAAGCTGAATAGACCAAGTGCTTTTAACGAGAACCACCACCTGAGACTCATGGTAGAACTCCAACTAAAGCTTTCGGGGCTTCAAAAAGATGTTGTCTTCAAGCAAAACTTGCAGAAATAGCTTTTCTTCCAGCATTTCCAAGCCAAGATCAGGGATGTGGTGACACCCAAAAAACTAGTCTTATGATTTCCAAGCTCCACTAAAGTCTTTCTTGTTGCAGAATACTAAGACCTTGAGCTACCATTTGGAAGATCAGATACAGCCATTCACTGCTTAGTTTTATGCTAAAAGTCAGTTCATAATGCAAACAGGCAGTTTATTTCAAGGGTAGCATAGGGAAAAAATGATCAAAATTATTTTGAATCATTTCTACCAGTCCTATGGGGATGTTATGAAACATCTGGATGAGTTTGAAGAGTGCAGGAATTCTGCAAAGCAGGCCACAAGTTCATCATACGTATTATCATAATTACCTTTGCTAACCCACTCTTGCCTCTGCTTGAGAAGACGGGTCCTACCCCGGCTTCTTTAGCTTTAATTGATCCCTTCCTCCAACAGTAATGAAGGCATTCAAATCTGAGGATGCCGAGCCATTTATAAGATGCGGAAGGGGGTGAAATCCCATTTAAGGTGACAAATGGGGCCCAGCCTTAACCGTGCAGCCACAGCCATCCCTTGTATGATTATGGAGACAAATGGCAAATGCAACCGCTGCTCATTGTGCAAGTTAGCTACAATGGTGATTTACTTTCTCTGTTGAATACTTAATTCAAGAAAGGTCACACCGCTCAATTATTCACCCACAGCAGAAAGGTAAATTACGTCAGATGTGCATGGGATGGAAGCTGAGAAAGGAGCCTTGTTTGAAGTTATCTAGATAACAGCTTAATAACTACTTTCTGCAGATGCTAATGAGCTACTGGGGATTATTCTAGCCATAGCACTCTGCTGCAAAGGCTTGTTTTCTCCTAGCAGCTAGAGTCACAGAGCTTACCTTGCAGAGAGCTGCCCTTGCAAAATCCTGACCAACCAGCTAAGGACATAGACAGATTACAAGTATATAATTGCAGGTTTGTATGCTAGGTAGGTACTCATGAGGTGCTGAAGAGCAAAAGAATAAACATGTTTTGAAACTTGCTTCAGTGCCTGTGTTTCTACTGACTAACAGCTGGAGGAAAGTTGACCAGGCACCTCCAAATTCCACTCAGAGGGAAATATGTACTTCCCATTTCTACAGCATTTTCCTTAAGATGGGAAATCCTTCAAAGCTCCATGCCTGAACCATCAAACGTGTATCCTACCATGTTTAAGGCCCATACTTTCCTCCTGATGGCCAAAGAGGAATCAAAAGCAAGCTGATCTGAAACATGCAGAGTGAGGAAAGCTCATGGCAGGATAAGCAGCTGTCTTTTAATTCTTGTGAGAGTTCTGCAGTGCCATGTCACTCAGACCTCTATGACTGGGAAACATGGGGTGCTAACCCATGGAAAGAAACCATGGCTAAAGACTCCATGCAGGCTTCCTTTCCACCAGCCTTCTGGTGATCACCGCCAATAAGATTGGGCGCTCAAATGCCCCTTGTGTTTGGAATTAATGAATGGTCCAATAATGGCCTGACACAATAAGGGGGTGAATAGAGATAGAGGATGTTGTCCACTATTTACTTAATTGCCTGCTCTATCAAAACCCCAGAAAAAAATTCCTGGGTAACATTTTGGCTGCTCTACAGGACGAAAGCCCCCAGACAAAGGTGGTCAGGTTGCTTTTGGATTGTGACCCATTTATCACTTACAGAACAGCACTGTTAGCAAAAGCGGCCAGAAACATTCGCGCTAATTCCCTGAGAGCCATTGCAATCAATTGTGCTGAAGACTCCCAGATATGAACAGTCTCTTCTTATTTTATATCTCCATGTTTTTATTCTGATTTTATTCGATTATATTTGTATTTTAAACAACTGTGACGGCTTTTAGCTAATACAATAAACTTCGGCTTGGCTTGAATGATTCTACACATCAGAGGTGTTCACCCACTGTACTGTATCTCTATAGGGCTCACTGCTCTGGGTAGCCTCTTTCCCACTGGGATCACTGAGCAAAAGTTAAAAAAAAGCAACTGAAACTCTGAAGACAAAGGGAAAACCAGCCTTCATGTAAAAAAAGGGCCCTCTGGGAACTGTTTGTCCCCAAACCTGGAAAATCTGCTTCTCAGACTGCAACTCCCAGAACCTCCCTATGGCCAAGCTCATGGTGAGGGAGCATTCTAGTACATGTAATTCTATAGTCTGGTTCGTCTACTTCTCTGCTCATCTACTCTACTTTCTTCTTTCCTACAGGGGTGAAGTAGACATCTATTGAGATCCGCAAGGATATGAGGGCAACAGTCCCGTGAATTTATCTAATGCTCTCTTCTTATTCTCATTTCATTAAGTTTTCAAACATCTCTCTACAACAGAAAGGCTAACCTCCATTTTGATTGGAGTACCTGGACAACTTACTGTATCTCTCTGACAGACAGATATGTACTCAATAATTGCACTTCTGCAGAATGGTTTCTAGCATGCAAGCCTGCAACAGAATGTCAAAAGGCAGAAGAAAATTGGCAAAAGCAAAACAAAATCCAGTGATGAGTAAGACAGCTTACCAGACTCCCGGGTCCGACCTCGCACCACATCACTCCAAGGTCCTGCCCCAATGGCGTTGAAAGCCTGGATTTGTAGCTCATATTCTGTCCACTCTTGTAGGTTCTCAATGGTGTGTTCCCTCTCCAGCCGATCACTGATGACTTTAGTCAGCACAGAAGACAGCATGTCCACACACCAGTATTTGATCCTATAACCTACTGACTCAGGGTTCCCATTATACTGAGTGTCAGGCAAGGGCTAGGCACATTGGGAAAAAAGAGGTTACTGGTGAGAGATGCATCATCTGTGATGTTTCAAGAATGTCCTGTTATTTTATAATATTTTATAAGTTAACATTATAAATTCATTATATAATTTTTATAAAGAACAATGTTTCAGTTGACAAAGAGCTGGCATTCCTTATGGAATACCCCACCATAGGACATGGGGTGTCTTCTCTGTTTTAAATGCCCCTTAAAGATCGAGCAGTTCTAGTCTGCTTTCACACCTTTAACAAACGGATGCCAAACTTTATAACATGAAGCTTTTACTGATGCTTCTGTTTTAAATTCTGCATAATTAATTGCATTTTTCATGCTGCTGTTTTCTGATTTTACTCAGACAACTCCTCTGAGGAGGCCTTGCCCCAGAAAGCAATTTTAGATTTTTTACTCCTATAATAGTAACAACACAGAGGTGTTAGAAATCTTAAGTTCTAGTTGCATATTGATTTTAGAGTGTTAGATCCTTATGTGGCAAAGACAGCACAAGAGGGAGGTACCAGCAGCCTTGGCTCAAGATTTGCATGGACAGGGGTATCTAAACCTAGCCACAGAGAAATCCCAGAAACAGCTCAGTGAAGACTGAGCAGGATCAGGGCCACAGAACACTCAGCCATTCCTGGAAGGGGTATTAAGATTGCTGGTGATGAAACAGGGAGTGGAAAGAACTGGTCTCCCAAACAGCAACATCCACATTACAGGACTTTTCTGCACACCTGATTCCTACATGACCTTGGTACCCGGTTGCATTGATGTGAATGACGAAGCAGTCAAAGAAGTGGGCACCCTTGAGACAGAAATAAAAATGTCTACATTCAGTTTGTCCCACTTTGGCAGAAGGGACACTACAGGAAATCCTTTGCCCAAGGCCAACTCTGCTGAATGGAGAAGTGAGGCGTCCCCACAACTGGTAAGCATGCTGGATAGAAGTCAATCTGCCTTTGCCCTGACACTGGAGTATTCTCTGGGCCAATACATAAATGCTTGTTTCAGAGCTGGTGCTTCCTTTCCTGAGCTATCATTAAAGGCTTCCAAGCATACCTCACTTTGGGTAGCAGCAACATTAATGCAGTTAATTGCAAAGTCACATGCTACCTTGCCTTTGCCTGCCTCTTTGCCTCTCTGCTGATTTAAACCATCTTTCTTGCTTGCAGTAACATCCTGCCCGTTTTACTGGGATCCAAAGAGCGACTTTAGACAGACACCCAGGACCTGGGTGTATCTGCTGGGACTGGTGGCTTGTTTTCCCTTGAGCAGGAGATTCCCACAGCATATACCAAACAAGAGATGAAATTATTTCCCTGTTGATGCAAGAATGCCCTGTCAGCATAAAAATAAAAAATACAGGAGTTCCAGTATTTTGGAAATGTTTTCCTCCCCACTGATATGGAGGAAAGGTACTGCAGATTAAATTTTACCCAAGGGAATTTGGGGCACATATTTTGTACTTTCCAGAGAGAAGTGGGAAGAAATGATATTGGGGAGTGTCTGTCCAAAGTGGCATAGAAGAGGAAATTGAAAGATGTGAACGAATTCTAGCCAGATGGGTTGGGCACAACAGTCAAAGGCACATGATAAATTCATTTATCAGTGGTCTGGCAATTTATCACCCGATTCCAGAGTTAATCACTTAGCTCTGTAATCTATCACATTGATATAACCTCCACAGCGGAACTGTTTTCCTAGATGAAAAGCAACAACAACTCGGTGCCATTTAAAACTTTTAGTAACTTGCAGTGAACTCAGTCTCCTTGCTTTAGGAAAGCATTGCCATAAACAGAGAGGCAGGGATCTGATCAACTCCCATGATATCAAGCTTATAACAAAAACAAATTACGTTTCTATTATTGGCTCCATTAAAGAGCTCATCCTGGCTGGAGATTTAAACTAGAGATGTGCTTTGATTCAATACGAGCAGAGGAGAGATATGAAATAGACATAGGTCAGGAAAAACGCTGGCGTGTGGGGAAGAGGACACTTAATGGGAACTTGGACATGTAAGGTTTAAGACTACAACTCCCAGAATCCCCTTCAGACATTCTGGAAGCTGTTGTCCAAAGACAGCAATAATCCCAAAAGCTGGCTTTACCTTGTATACCTTGAGAAATCAGTTCTGAGCTATGACATCTTGCATATGGGAAAACTTAAAATGTCATTCTGCTTTCTACACCGTTCAGTTACCATCAACTTACCACCCAACGGACCCAAAGGCTGGTCTCACTGGCTGTTCTTACAGTCACACTCCCTGGTGCCATGTCTGGAGGTGCCTGGAGGGTTTGGATAACCCGAGATGGCTGACTCAGTGGGCTTTGCCCAACAACGTTCACCTGTCTCATCCGGAACCTGGAAGACAGACAAGGGCACACACGTACAATACTGAAAAGTTTCAAAGGGCAAGTGCGCTCGAACTGGAACCACTGGGATATCTTTTTTCTTCAAAGACAATAAAAAGCCATAAAAAACCAGGGGATGCAAATCCGTGTCCATCTCACTTGCTAGACAAGGTGGCACAGGAGCATTTCTCAGCACTGCAGGAGGATAGGAGAGACGTTTGCCCATTTGTGAGATTGGTTTTTGTATATTACTGTAAAGCCACAAAATTTAAAACATAATAACTGCTACTTTGGGGCACAGACAGAGAGTAGCCTTTCCACACCAAACAAGCCTTGATTCACCTGCATCTGTGAAGCTTATGAGGCATTTTGGAGAACTAAAACCTCCTCCTTCCTCACTCAGTGAAGGACCTTCAGTTCTACCATTAGTGAGAAGGAGAAAATCTGTTTGAGATTCTCAGCTCATCATGGTTGATGACAGTGGTATGTAGCAAGTTGCAACAATTAAAGCTGTCATTATCTCCCATACTCTTATTACATTTTCTGCTCTCCTAATTGTCTAATAGATCAGACAAGGGATCCACTGAGATCAGACAAGGAAGAAATCAAACCAGGAAGATTCCCATTGGCCCCTACGATGAAAACAGGTTCTCATTAGACAAACACTGATGGAATCAATTCAAAGTTGCAACTCTGCTTTTTTGCTAAAGATGCTGACATGCCACATTGCTCAAGAAAGAATTATTTAATTATTTCTGGGCTGTATCTCTTCCCAAACCTTTTCACAACAGACACCTCAAAGGCAGGTAATAGAGAACAATCTGCTTCCTTCCTTTTGGGCACCACAAATTTATAAACATGAACATCTGGGTGGAAATCAGTCCACTGTGTTGTTCCAACCCATTTTCTTTGCAGATGGAGTTTGTCTACGGAGGGCAACGGTGTGGGAGAAAGTGACTTCCAGTTCAGGGGAAGATAACATGTGCTAAAGGCATTAGATACTGATAATTAGAGATGCCTACACAAACTCACAGAAGGAAGGGAGAGGCCTTTTGCTAAAGCTTTCTTGTGTTAACATGTTAGCATCAACTCGTCCCTGCTACATGCTGGATTTCTGGTTTTAAAAGACTGGGAACTGAGAGGAGCTTGGGCAAGCTTATGTAATGCCATTAGTCTATCTGCTCAAATCTCGTTAAGGAAGTGCATTAAAGGAAAATGCATTAAGCAAAACAACCCCATTAATTTCCCAAACACTGACAGCACACATAAGGAAAGAAGCACGCTTGACAAAGATGCAGTTTAAGTCCAATAATTTGTGCTTTCTATTCCCCCACGCTCCTTTTCATCATGTACGACTGCCGTGTCAAGATCAGCCAAAATGATGGAGCCAATAAACCCGAGTGGCACCAGAGAAATCTCATTTTATCACCGCAAGGACAACTGTACAATGGCTTCAGGGGACTCCCAAGAAATGGAAACCCAAATTCACTTTGGAGAGCCATTTACAGAGACATAACAGCAAGTTGTTCTTCACCTAAGCCAGCTAGAATCATTTGATGCACTTCTTACTAAGTAATGAGTATGATACTGGTGCCAGCTTTTTTTCTTAACTGGCCCTGCTCCTGTGACACAAAGCAGACGGATAGAAATGAAGCAGGTAAAGCTTTTGGCCGCATAAATGGCAAGGAAAAGCATGTTTAGTTCCTGGTGCAATTAAAGGCTGCATTGAGGACACTCTTCTCTCTTCATGGGACCAGAGGTCATCCAGAATTAACTCTTCAGGGACTCAGATTCTGTCATGCAAATTTTCCTAAAGTGAGGCTCATTCATAAGGAGAAGGCACTGCCCCCTTGTTGTCCTGGGTAATGAAAATGATGAGTGTGTACAGACAAGACTGGGCACACAGAGGAAAGAATAATGGCTGTGAAAATTGCCCAGGCTTTTGCGCGAAATGGCACAATTTATGTAAACTGCAATCGGCATAAGAGCGGATTGACTGCAGCTTTGTTTCAGAGACATTAAAGTATCTGAAGGAGGTGGGTCTTTTTTTCACTCCCATGCATCTGTCTTAACAATCAGTCAATCCCTTTGTGCATTCTGTAGGGAAGCCTTTGCTTCTCAAAGGGAAGAATCAAGAGTTTTGCAGAGATATACTCCTAACAAGTTACAGGGACCATAAGGGAAGGGAAACCTTCCTCTTTTACTCTCGCTGGAGGTAAGGAACTTTTGAGCGGCTTTCACATTCCTTGCTGATGTGTCTTCTAGGACTGAAACAGCCTAAGCCCATGAGCAACTTGGCCATCAGCATCTTCAGGTCCTGCTATGCAAGGAACAATGTTGGCTCAGGGTATAATGTTGACTACCTGTCGGCATCTTCTACCTCTAGGTTCTATCCAAGCAAATTCTCATCTAGCTAGATTGCCGTGTCCTAGTCCTGAGTGATCTATCTATAAAGCATTTGAAGGAAGCAAACTGGTAGAACTGTCAAAGCCAATAAAGCAATTGAGTTTTACAATTAATCTGAAAGCAAGATGCCCCTCACATAGGCGGGCATTTGTTGTAGCTTAATTCTATAACATTACTGAGTTCACCAGGTATGGCGAAGGGAAGAAAAGGAAATATACTCACTTAGTGAATTAAGTGAAAGTAATATAAGGAGTGTTCGGCCAATTTTAGTGCAGTTTTCCCACAAACGAAGCAAGATCAATTTTAATTAAACCAGTGCAACTCTTATTTTAGACAAACGCTTTGTAGCAGGACACGTTATATTACTCGGCAGCATTTTTTAGCAGTGCGCTTTATGCCTTGCTCTCATTTCTAGACCGATTAATTATTTTACCATGGGAAGGTGACAATTAAGATGCATCAAGCAGAGCTGTTTAAGTACACGCTCTTCTAGGAGGTACATTTAAAGCCTTCCTCCACAATGCCTTTGACCAGCTTGCTTTTGGCCTACAGGGTGGTGCCCCTTTCTTGCCACCAAAATGAATGACCAGCTGCTCTCACCTGTAATGTGTATAAGGCGTGAGGTTTGGGATTTCTAACATCTGAGCATCTGATTCTTTCTCCACCTCACACAACGTTAACCACTCCTCTTCCTCTCCTATGACACCAACCTAGAGAGAAAAAGCAAGAGACAATGGCTTTTGTTTAGACAGCATCAGACGCTGGAAAGATGCCTTAAGATCACACAAGTTGCCATGTAATGTATGTATTTATTGTTGTGGTTGTTGTTGTTTATTAATTGCATATGATCCTCACCCTTTCTTGAATGGGCCAAAGATGCATATATTGGTCTTCTCTGCCCAGAATTACCATCACAAGGAAACCATGGGAGATTCAAGACCACCCAGTGAGTTCCATGGCTGCATGGGAAGTAGAAACTGGATATTCCTAGAACCAATACAACACACAACCATGAGGCCTGCTCCTGATTTTTCTTTTCCTGGATGTTCCTAGTTTTGCTCCAGCACTCCAAGCACTACTGCTTCCTGGCCCTGTTCAGCATGTCTAGTTGGAATACAATCACACATCCTGTACACATTCACCTCTGCCCCCTTCCTCTCGTCTTTCCTTTGTATTAAATTACAAATTGAAAAACATTTGGGTCAGGGACCCACTCCTATTAATTTGAATTCTAGTTTAATTTGGGTCCTCTTGAAGAGAAAAGCAGCGTATTATTATTTCAAATAAATAAATAAAATTTGAAATGTGTCTATCTGGCCTTTCAAGTATACACGTTCAACGTAGGTTACAAGATGAAAAAACATAAAAGAAATCATAGAAGTGGGTGGGAAAGAAGGGAAGGCTTGATCTTAAGGCCTGGTAGTCTGCACAGCATCTTGAAATTGAATGGAGAAGGAAGCCTACGCAGACCATCAAATGGGTCTCATCAAGCAAAGCAAAGGTGTTCAGTTCTCCCAGTGCTATTTCACAGAGGTGAAAATTAGAAAAAATTGGTCTTTAAACGCGAACAATATAAAAGTTTCAAAAGTACTGTTTGAAAGAAGAGAGTCTCTAAATTCTGCTTTTAAAAAAAAGTACTGTTCCCAGCTACTTCTGCCTAGGAAGACTGAATAAGTTGCGTGGTTTCATCCATGCAGCCCAGAGGAGCCATCAGCTCAGTGCCCAACAAGGTAGAAGCACGGCTACATATATCGTGGGTGAAAACGGTTTACTGATGTGAGTCTCCGTAGTTTTAAAAGAGATAGGTCATGCAAACGTTAGCCAGAAAAGGAACATAAGCTGGGAGCTTATTTCCCTCTTCTTTGCCAGAAAGAACCTTTATCATTCACTTATTGCTTTTTAATACTTATTTGATAAATTTACAGCCCATCTTTCCTTCAGTGATTTCAAGGCAGCAGATAAGTCTGTTTGTTCCCACTTTACTGAACCCCAAGGTTATCCAGCCCAGTCTTTGAATAAAAAAACAAACAAACTTGCATGCCTGAGTGAGGATTTGAATCCTGATCTCCTGAGTCCTAAGTTCAGCATTCTAGCCACTACACTACACTGCCTCTCAACTTTCCCCATAAGAGCTAGATTCTAAGTTGGTTACTCCTGCACCACTACCGGCTGCCCTCAAGTAAGCCAGAGATGGTACAACAAACTGGTAAGTTTTTATGGTAACCTGGATCCTTAGGAGCTGGGGAAGTACAGGATTGGGCCCGGAGAAAACCACAGTGAGATGAAGCCAGTCAGTAAAGCTGAGCAGAACTAGACTACCTTCGCTAGCATTTAAAGGAAATATCTATGTACTGTATTTCTAACTAAATGGTTTAGCTAAGATTACTTGGCCATTGTATCTTCTTTATAAAAAAAACCCCCAGATGCAAAGAATTCCCAGGATCTTGCTTAGAATCTGGCTGTTCTGTTTTTCACTCTGCTGAGTGAACAAACTTGAATCGATTCTTAGAGTTCAAGGTTTTGGAAGACTCATGCTTCAGTGCAAAGATCTCAAATGGAACAAAGGAAAAAGAACAAAGGCACTTTAGATATCCCTGCTGGCTAAGCAGCGTGGAGACTAGGCAGTGCTTTGTATTAATTAGCCATTGTAAGTGGCCAACAGCCAGCTCAGCACCACACATCTGCAAGAACTGGGCCAGCAGGGTCAGAACATTAATGTGGATTTAAAACCTTTCTTCCCCCATGCCACCGTTCAGGGAGAGCGCTGGCAGTTCTCAAGGCAGAAGCCGCAGAATGAACACAGCAAAGGAGGTGGAGGAGGCCTGAAGAAATAACAGGAAGGCCACAAACTCAGAAGAACAGAAATGATGATCCTGAACGTACTGTGGTGAGAACACAGGAATCCCACCATGTTTGTTCCACTGCGGCAAAAGTGTGCAACTGACACACTGATCGGGTTTCTGGCACTAAATACAAGACCTTTTCCAACAGCAGGGGACAGAGAAAAGTAAACAACTGGCATGGAATGATCAGGTGGACACTTATCTTCCAGGTGGAACTTCTGTACTTATTGTACAATTATTCGCTATTCAGGATACACAGGCAGCATTAGTGCAGGTGTTAAGAGGCGATGGGCCAAGACTCAAACCTTCCTTCAGTCATGAATCTCACTTGGTAACGTTTGGCCCATTGCTCTCCCACACCTGGCCAGCCTCACAGGGTTGTTAGGGGGACTATACTTTTTCTTTCCGCAGAGAAGAGGAACCATGCAGGGTACTCTATCCTTCAAGCAGAGTATAAATGTAATGATGCAAATATGCATTCCCAGCTCTAAAGGATGTCAATCAATATATAATGTAGTGAGGGGCTTAGGGTCCATAGCAGTATTTCCAAACCTGGGGGGTGGGTTGCAAAGTGTTTTCTGAGCATTGCTGTGGGGCACCTTATATGTGTTGCAAGCCCTTGTTTAATCATTTCTTCTTTGGCCGTGATATTAAAGTTAGGGTGTATGTTTGAGAAACAGGCCCTTTTGGGGAGGAAAAAGCCCCTGCTTTCTGGGAAGGGATTACTTTACCCAGTTAAAAATCCCTTTTTATGGAAACATGGTGGGGTGGGTGGGTTGCAGGTTACTTGGCTGTTCTAAAAGGCAGTTGTGGCTCCTAAAAGGTTGGGAACAGCTGGTTTACAGAGAAGAAACTAAAGGGGGAAAGGGGAAGTAATGCAGGAACGTTTGATATTTTTTTTTCTCCTAAAGGGTTTTTACTTCTGGAGTAGCAAAAGGAAACAACACTGGAAAGCACCATGAAAGGATCTCCCAGGTGAATGTTCAAACCAGAGCACAGCATTTTCTCATTAGAGGAGATGATTGATACAGTCTCTGAGGGGAGAGATGACTCAGGCCCCGTCTGGAATGCGGGAAGATTCTGCCTTGAGAAGCCAGCTGGATGACAGGTGGTGAGCTACCTGCTTTGGGGCCTGGGAGGCCATTGACAGAATGGCTGCAGTCCAGAGACAATAATTATCTCTCGTGCACCTGGAAATGGCAGAAAGTTGTGCTTGCACAGTGGGAAGGGGAGAAGAAAATGCATTTGCTCTCAGTAGAAATGCCAAGCAAGCACCCACAGCAAAAGCTAAACAGGTGGAGTAAGTTTTCAGCACAGTGAAGAACTGGAATGTTGGCACCAGATTAAGAGTGGGTATCATCTCGGGTCTGAGTTTTAGGATGCACATCGATGGGAAAGAGCCCTTCGTGCCACTCATCTCCAGTGTGGAACGTGGCAGAAATTTCACTCCTTCATTCTGCACAGCTCCACTACTCATGTGACAGCCTGTTGCAGTGTGCAAACAGGACCCCGTCCATCTGGAGGACAAGTCAGCCGTTTCCACAGCACACTGTAGAAGTGGACATGGGAAGCTGTCCTATGCTGGCCATGGGTCCCCATAGATCAGTACTGTCTGCGATGGTTGGCAGCGACTCTCCAGGGTTTCCAGTGAGAGACTATCAAGAGGTGAGCCTGTTCGTCAAACACAAAGCAGGCTCTCTCTCACTGAGCTATAGCCCTACCCCAGAAGTGCAACGGAGAGCCTCCAAAGAGCTTAAAACCCTTCAGTCATGTGTCTGGCACCCACACTTTGTCAGTGGAAGGAGGAGGGTTCAGATTTGTTTCTTTAATTCTTTTTTGCCCACCAATGAATAAAAGACATGGAAGTGTACTAAACCAGTCTAAAGGGGCCCTTCTGAAGTTCAAAACAATGTCAAATGTGTATGGGTTGTCCTGCCATGCAGAAGGTCTGGCTCCATGGAAGGACGGAGCTCCTGATGCAGGGATTCTTTGCCCCCACCCCCAACCAGGAAGGGACAAGCAGTGGGGAAACGAGGTTTCCTGTCCCCATAATTGCTGAAGTGGGGGCAGGGTTATGATAAGCCTTGTATCGGGTTTCCCCACGCTCGCTCCAGCCTTGTCCGAGGAAGGTTCGACTTGCCCACTCTCCCATGGGTCCATTGTGAGATCAGCAGGTAATTTCAGGATGGGAAAAGAATTTTTGGCCCAGCTTGCTTCGTATTTAGAGAGGTGAGCAGGGTGGTTTTTGTTTTTGCCTCTCCCACACGGGTTTGTTCACAGGACCTTTAAGGGCAGAGCAGGGGAGTGGGATGATTAAATAGGTTGCAATGATGGGTAGTGCAGAATGGGATTTGATCAGTGGTGAGTTCCATGGGGCACCTGGGGGAGCGGGTGCTAGGCCACCCAGTATCCTAGCAATGGGATCCCAAAATTTCCTTCCCAGGGTGGAAGATGTGCAGGAGGGCAGCCCTGGCTGTCCTTCGCCTAAGGTCACGAGGCCTGGGGGTGGCGGCCAAAGAGGGGAACCCAGTCTTCAGTGGCCAAGGATGCACTGTTGGAAGAGGGCACCATGTCAGGGCAGGAGAGACCTCTGGCTCCTGACCCTCACTATGGGAGACTTCACTGTAGGAACTGGGGATGTTATATTTTAAATATTAAATAAAGCTGTGTTTCCTACCCACCACAGGTGTCTTTTCTCTTTATTAGGAGCTGGGGTAGGTGAAAAAAAAAAGAAGCCAACATGAGTTAGCCTCGCCTACTGTTGACTTGGCTCCCACAGTCTGCCATGGTATCATCGTCATCTACCATCATAAATGATTCAACATACCAGTTCTGTAAAAATCACCTGCTCATCTTCAAAACTTCTG